TTTCAAATCTAAAACGAAGCAGAAGTAAGGATAAATGAGAAGAAGAAGATACAAGACCAAAATGAAAATTTCCTTCGCATAAACTTTTTCATTTTATTTTCACTTTTTCATCTCCATTCATGGATTAAATTCTCCTTTTGATTGAAAATAAAAAGCAAGTTGAGACAGTAAGAGGGAGAATCTCCTGTCTATCCATTTACATGGCGGTTTAATTCAACCTTTGATACTTTGATCTTTTTTGCTTCATTCTTTAAGGATTAAGACTTAATGAAAGAACGAAAATTATTTCTTTTTACTGTCGTCGTCCTTTCTCTCCTTTAAGTTCCTTCCCTTTGAATCTTTCTTTTTATATCAAGATTTTATTTTTTCGTTACTTTATAGATCTTAAGAAATGCTAGAAAACATGTTAAATTGAGTATGCGATTGATTCATTATAGATGGATTTTTTCATCATCTGTCCTTTTGGGTTTGATGTTCTTGATCTGTGAAATTAATGCAAATTTAAGGAGTGGTTGGACTTTTGAGTATAGCATTTATATTAAGAATTGACCAAGGAAGTGGACTTTAGTTTTGGAAGTTGACACAAATGGATAATCATACTCGAGTGACACAAAGAATCAGGCGAAAGAGTTTATATTCAAGGCTTGAACTTAAAATTGAAGAAGGACATTTTGATCAAGTAGGAAGTTGGAGAGGTAGGAAGTCCTTAAAGTCCTGAGTAAACTATGAACAAGTTGCAACCTAAGTTCAATTAAGCCTCTGTGCTTCTTATCTTGGTTGCATTTAGAATATAAATATACATGAACTACATTCGTTGATTATGCACTTCCATTGACTCTTCATCAAACTTGCACGATTTACTCAGCAACAATATTTCAAGCATTCATAAATCCTATTAATATTTTAATTCAGTTTTGTAAAACAAGCATGTATATTCTGTCTGTATCGTACTTATAAAGAAAACTTCTCCACAATTTTAAATTTCCTTTTATTTCCACAAAATTTCCTCATTCCTGTAAACCAAACTGAAAAACTTTCATAAATCTTTTCATTGAATTTTATAAAAAAAAAAGTTTAAACTTTTTCTGCCCATTTTAGCATTTTTACCCCTCAAGTTTACTACTTTCTGTTCCTCACTCCAAAGGAAAATGAAAATTCTAAAGAAGAAAAAAGGGCTGCAAATATTTAAATCAAAAGATTACTTCTTATAAACTTTTTCCTCCTCTTGCTGCAAACTCTTTTAATATTTTTATTTTCGAAATAAAAAAAATTAAAAAAAAAATCTTTTTTTCGGGTTGTGTTAAGGTTTTTTTCAATAACGAGCATTTCTTTAAAAAATTCTTTTAGATCAGGAAAACTTCATATAATGCATAAGGTATGAAAAATCTTTTCGGTATTTGACTTTTTCCACATCTTACGTTTTGGTGCATGTGAATTTTGTGAAAAAAAGAAGTTGAATGATAAAAGTAAGGAAGACGATTCGCTAGATGATTATTATGAATGCGCACTCTTAGGAAGAAGTTTAGCTTGAGAAAGAAGCTTCCTTACTTACTTCGCTGGCTGGACAGATCAATTTTGATCCATGGCTTCCCTTAGATGGCACCTTAAGCTGGATCTTTCGCTGGTTACCGTTTGCCAATTACCAATACCAAATGAAATACTGTCCTTGTCAACAGCTTCTTTTGTGTAAGAAGCTTAATATTCTATGATCTCCATTAGACACTAAAACACAAGCATAGTCCAAATACCAGAGATTAAAGTATCAATTTTTGATTCTAAGGTATTGCACTTTGAAAAACCCTTCAATCTGTGGCTATACTCATCTGTTAAGTAAGTAAGCTATAAAATTGTTTAAAAAACTACAACTGGGACGATTCCGACCATTCATACAAGATATGAAAGCTTTAACTTCAACTACATTGGTACTTAACATTTCCAAATTCCCAACTCAACAAGACATCCAAGATGCACACAAAAACCAGTCAGAAAATCATCATATCTTTATAATAATGAGATAATATAAAAAAGATGAGAGATGAGGTTTCTAAAGAAATTATGGCTTGTTTCTTCATCCTTTATTCTTCTGTCTTTTCCTTCTTCTTGTTTCTCCAAAAAAAAATAACATCCAAGGTAGAAACAGGAAAAAAGAAAATTCTTTCAAGGAAAACTTTCCATTTTTTTTCTTGTTTCTTGTGGGAAAGAAATGTTTTTCTTGTATCAAAGTTGCTGGCAAAACATGCTTTATTATTAAGCAAGTTGTTTTGTTATTTCTTTTCTTCAGCAAATTTCACTTCCTTAACAAGTATCGAGGAAAAGTTCATCTCTAACATTCATCATTTATTTTATTCCGTTTATTAGTTTATCTTTTAAGGCGGGTATTACACGCACTGTTGGTTCTAATGAGGTATTTTTTTTTTATAAATAGACCATTTGAATGACTTGGGATTAGGCAAGCTTCTAAGCTGAATTACAAAAATGTATGATCATTAACTTTGAGTATAGGTGAGATATATTGAACTTGAATTGACTTTAGTCAGGAGTCGTTCTATTATCACGTTCAAAATTCTGAGGGGGAGGGGGGGGTCTAAGTCTAAGATTTTGTGCCAGCTTAAGCAAAAGAAATTTTTTATATTCACACCGATTTCACGTTCAGTTTTTCGCATTTTGCGATGAAATGTAGCAAGATAGCTTAACATGTTCTAAGATAAAAAGTTTGTGCCTTGAATTTCACATCTTTTGCAAAAAACAGATTTCATATTGGTTGCGGCATTGCTAAGAAAATCGCAAAATACGCTTTCTGTAAGCAAGCAAACAAGCAAGTTAATCAGCAAGAAATCTCAATAACGAGACATCGTAGAGACTTCTAGTTTTTTACATTTGATCTGTGCTGCTCTATAGAAGAGCTGTATTGTTTTTGGGCAAGGTAGGAACAGCCGTTGCTTCAGAAAAAGCAAAAAACTTTCCTTTCTCACGAATTTTTCAAAAAAAAAGTTTACTGTGATTTTTATAAAATTCAACTTTTGACGTTAAGCTTTAGACCTTCAAAATTATGCTGAGCGAAGCTCAGCTGACTCGCTAGCTTTATATCTCAAAACTTATGCTGAGCGAAGCTCAGTTGACTTATCAAGCTTCATACCTTAATACTTATGCCGGGCAAATCTTAGTCTATCCAAAAGACTTTTGATGGTACGGTGTGAATATAATCCGCATTGGGTTTCCACCCGATACACTAGTTCTATAGAAGTTTTGTGACAGAGAGGGGAGAGGGTCTAAAAATCATAGTTTTTGATGGACGTCATAAGTGTACGGCCCCTAAGATCTGCTGTTGCCAAACATATTCTCTCTATATATGGAGTTGATGCCATAAGAACATGTTCCTAAGAACGTAAGGATATTCACTGTGTTTTTCAAAACTAGATCTGCTTTAAAAATTATTTAAAAGTTTCTACCTTCATTCTTAGAAATGCTAATACCCTTGAGTCATAATTAATAAGCAAAGCATAAACATGACATTGATTCTCAGCTTCTTGATTAATCAAGCATAACATTAGAGAAAGTTTTTAGAAATAATTATGTTCAGAAACTGAGGTCGTTTACAAGTGACGTCTATTATTATAGAGGATTGTCCTCAAAAATTTGGGATATCATGGGATAATGAGATTTAAAAGCTTACTTTTCAATCGAAGACTAAGTTATCGTATCAGACTGAAAAATGGAAAATCTAGTCTTATCTAGGCAATTCTTGAGTTCCAAGAGCCAGGTATAAAACTGCCAAATAGTTATTCTGTATCATTCTAGAAATCATAGCTTTGCTTTCTTTCAGGAGCAGTCGTTATGTTAACACTTTTGATATTTTAACGTCATACATGAACAAAATCCCCCAAAAGCTTGTTTGCTTCCAACAAATTTTTTCGATGTTAATTTTTATTCTCGGAATTATTTCTTTTTAAAAAGCGTTCAGCATGAATTAAATTTTATTTTATTTTAAAAAAAATGAGGTGAGTATACAAAGAACCAGATCCACAAAAGAAAGGCAATTTGAAAATTCGAAGTTAAACTTTTGTACTATTTGTACCTTAAATATTTAACAAATATGAAATTTTGCATTTGCTGAATATTAGAATGTGGGCGAGAATGTGAGCTTTGAAATTTCATAAGGTTTATGGCATCTAACATCCAATCATACCAAAAAGTACAAATCCCAAATAAATACGTCATGAATGGATCAAAAATAGATTTACCTAAAGAATAAAAATTTCTGATGACATTTACTTGCCAAAAAGGTAGCAAGAAAATTCTTATTTCGCCCACTTCCATCAACATCCACAGCACAAGAATATTTTGTTCTAAGGACTCTTGGATACTCAATATCAGGGGTAGAACAGCTGTCATGGAAGGTCTAATATTGGCGTTCGTAGATAATCAGAAGGAAAACAACTTGATTTAGAAATTATGGAATCACCGAGTATTTTGGAATTGACATAAAGCACATAGCATGGACAACATCCCTGTGCAACAAAATAAAATAAAACACAAGAAGGTAAAAGATGCTGAAAATTCTCATATAATGCTATGCAAACTTTAGCTTGAGGGGCTACTTTCAATTCCGGTGCATTGTTCTTCAAGTTTCTCATTCATGCATAAAAAAAAATTATTATGAATATTTTTTAAGCATGATGAAAAACTTCTTGCTTTTCTCAAAACATGCAAAAAAAATGTGAAAAGTGAATTTTTAAGGAACAGAGAAAGAATTTTGCATGCACTCAAAAGCGGAAGGAATCTTTTTGTCTTCTTTGTTCCTTTTCTGACATAATTTTTCACATTTTCTTTCCTTTTATGCTTCATGTTAATTTCATTCACACAATGGAGCTTTTTGAAAGGTATTCAAATGTCCAAGGCTTCATGCTTCCATCATAATGATGATGATTTGAATGAGCTTAACTGGAAAAATTGTGGAAACTCAAGGGACGAGTCATTTTCAGGAAAATTTTCAAAACTTTTTATTCAGCGTAAGATGGAAGTGGCAAAATTGTCAAATTAAGTGGCGAACGATCTAAAAAGCTGCTTTGTGCTTGGACCAATAAATCTTTCATGTAAAGGATGATCGTTTGGACACAAGAGAATGGATTCTCCAGAGGAATTGTTGAGTTTAGGAATATTGGAATAAAGACAGCAGGATCAAAATTCAATATTGCAGCTATTTCTGTTCCTAACATGTTTAATAAGCAGTTATTGATCGCTGTTATATACGAGGTAAATAAGTCACTCATGTTGAGGGCTTCAAAATCACGAGAGCTTCCTAATAAAGAGTTAAAAATCAGTTGTTGGATATTTTCTTCAAATTTGGCAACTTACGTTCGATAATCAACGATAAGTTTTGCAAAAAATGGCTGTAGGATTCATAATAAGGTGAAAAAGTCGCGTATTTGGTAGCACATATGTTTGAACCTAGAAAGAGAAACTCTTAACACTCCTAAGGACATCACCTTAGCTTTAAACCATCTTACCAGATTTTCTTTCTCTGAATCTATTTAATACAGACGTGAATTCACTTGACATATAAGCAAGTCTTTCACTCATGTAAATCAAATCATCTGCAACACAATTGAGAGGTTCTATAAATGGTAAATTGATTGTTTTCCGAAGAATTCCATTAATTGTGTCAGAACTGACTCCGGATAATCGACTCGTTACATTTGCTGCTAAAATAAGAGCTTGCGTAGACGCACATTGAACATATAAAGCATAAGATGGTGTTAAAACTGGATCATTGAGAGTGCCATCTAAAATTGAAGGAATCAAATAAGATTCAGTTCCACAATAATTCCAAAAAGATTCTCACCAAGTGCAAAGTTTTGAATGTCATTAACCAGATTTATCCAAGCATTAACAAAGGCAATAAAATTGTCATGGAATGGATCACAGTCTGATGGAACTGTTAATCTGCTGCTGTAAAGTTTGTAACCCAATTTTGCTTGACTGATTGACGACATCAGCAAATCTTGTCTACAAAAAAAATTCGATGGAAGATCTGCAAATGGATCTGTTAGAAATTGGGTCAATAAAGTTGCGTCAGCATTAAACAGTGATGCGATTCCATTCATCAGAAGTTGCAAAACAGAAGTCTCATTCAAAGAAAATTGTTCTAGATACAAATCATCTTTCTCGATGAGTTTAAAGCTTGCGATGTCAGCTGGAATAGTTTTAATTTCAGAGTTATGAAGATAAGGAAGTCGGTGGTCGAATAATTACCAAAAATATCAAATAATATCCTATGAATTATCCTGTTCAAGTCCTGATAATAAGGAGTGATGTAAGAAATGACTATGTTGCAGGTGTCGTCGTCATTAACTAAAGGAATTAAAATTTAATGAGAAAATATAAAGTCTTTGAAGGACATAATATGTGGATGACATACTCGTTGAATTTCGACCATTTACTGCAAGAGCAGATGAGGCATTCATGAACAAATTATTTACAAATGGATAAAAAGCAATCAACTCAGTATCAATGCAGTCAAGTGGTGGAGGAAGTGGAAGATCTGCAGTTCCAATTAAAGCATTCAAAATAGAAGAATTATCAATACCAGACAATTGACTTGTTCCTGATGCTAGTATATTGAGTAAAGCATTTGGCTTAGATGCTATGTCTTCGGAAAATGGAGTTGCTAAACCTGGATAAAGGCTTGAAAATTCTGAAAATAAAAGTTTTCTTTAAAATTCAATTAAAGTCATTTTAAAGTTTGGATCAAAGTTGCGACACAGGTTGCTTGTTATAGGCACAGATGACAGATCTGTCATAGATATTGTCTGTTAGCAGTGATTGGCTGCAACAAATCACAACTCTGGTTTGGATTCTAAAATGATTTAAAAATTAATTCCATCCTTTCCTTACCGATCGTTCGATTTGCGATCCTCCCAGATGATAATTCACATGCTTGAAGTAAAGCTAAAAAATTACTATAAAGTGGCTCACATGTTGATCTACTTCCGCCAAAAGCAATAATTAACACGTTTGAGAAAAGTGTCAAAAGTAACAAGAACTTCATTTTTTTTAAAATAATTTAAAAGCCACAATGATCTGTCACTATTTGGAACCTCGACTAAGTGTCTCTCTTCCCAAAATTAACAACTTTGTAAAAAGTCAGATGTGAAAATGACAAAAATCGTGAGCTTGTAAAATTTAAACGATGAGGACTAATTGGATTTGAAGTAAAGAAGGGGGGGGGGGGGGGGTTGGGTGAGGGAGTAGTTTATTTGAATAATATCAAAGAGCTGTTTTGACACATCCCAAACTTTCTTAGATTTGCTAATCAGTGATGCAATAAAAAACAGCACAGGTTCTATAATTTATTTTTGAGAACTTTAACGACTAATTTTCGTCAGCTTTCATGGCATGTGATGGATCTTTAACATGTGAAACGATTTTAAGTCAATTTTACTTTTACCACGTGTTCTGTGTTTCTATTGAATCGTGTTTACAATTGCCAACTATTGTTTTTATTTCACTTTAAAGGTACTTAAAAATGTTTAAAAGTAATGCTTTAAAGTACATACAAAATATTATCAGATTTAGAGAGTCTTTTCACAGGAACTGATCTATTCATAGCTTCATTATGATTTTTTTAAAATATTTAATTATCTTGTCTTTAATTGGATGTGCTTTTAGTGGAGGGACATCGACATGCAGTCGTCTTCGTGAAATTTTTGTTGAATTACTGTCAGCTAGTCAGAATATGTTGGAAAGATTGGCAAATCAAACAGTTGGTATGTAACATTTGTAGTAGCTTTGGTTCCTCCATCAAACTTAAACTCTAAATTCTCGATGACCAGAAAATTCCGTTGCATACAAAGCAATTGAAAATAGCTTCGTCAGTGAGCTTTTGTGTAATCTGGATGTTGTCGTTGAAATTCTAGCCGAAGGAACTAGTCAAGCATCAAATATAAATGCGAGTTTTATTGCTGAGATCTTGAGAGGAAATAATGATTCTGAGTTTCCGTTTCCACTGAGTTGCATAAAGAAAGAAATGCTTTCATTTATAACGATCGTTGACTATATCCTACAAAATACTTATAGCACATTATCATCAGTGTCATATAAATCTCCAGGTGAGTTGTTCATTTAATTCGAATTTTTCTAATAATTTAAAAACTTATAATTTTCTTCAGTTACCTTTAATAGCTCTTGTGAATCAGTTGTGCAGCATGTATCTTCCTATTATCATGCATTGAGTTCATACATTGATTCGAGAATATTCACTAACCTTGGTATGTACCTTGATCAGCACCCATTGTGAAAAACATATTTTCAATAAATTTATCCTCCAGCTGATGCAGTCGACTTCAAAAACATCGGACAGTTTGATTTATACCTGAAATTTCATGTTTCCATTAACAAATGTATGATGACTACTTTAGCTAAGAGTGTGGCTGAGCTACTTAATTCTGATGCAAATACAACAATTGAATTTACCACAAATCAATCGATTGCACTTCCAAGTCCATTAAATTGTGTATCTGGATTATTTGGGTCAGCAATAGCTCAAATTGAGTTAGGATATATTGAATTTAGCAAGACGGTTTTTAATTTGCAACATCCTGAAGCGTGCTTACAATTAGGAACAGACTTTGGAATATTTGTTGATATTTGGAGCGGATATGTGGACAGGTTGCAGAATTTTGCAATTGGTGAGTAGATTTGGAATATTTTCATGTATTTGTTGGTAGCTCATCTACAGTGGTCTGCCTTCATTAACTCAAGGAGCCTCAAATGATGTTCTAGAATGACCAAATTCAGGATTCTTATCTATCCAAGTAATAAAATTCCCTATTAACGTCATTTCAGAAAATATCCTAAAATATCCAGTCCTGACATCGTCATTCATTTCTGATTTTGAATGTGAAGCACATCGAATGTTAATTTTTGCTGCAAATGCAACAAGTCATATATCTGGTGTCTCATTTGATGCTTCATTTACTATTCTTAATAATCCAATTATCCCACCATTTGGATTGCCACTTGACTGCATCGCTGATGATCTGATTTACATCCGTAATTACATCTGGACCATCATTAAATCTTTAGCTCCAGGACTAAAGGTTTTTAAATTGGCTTCAACAGGTTGGCTTATTTAATGAGATTTATTTAAATAAATTTTAACTTTTTATAAAAAAAAATTCCAGGCAATTTTGATTCGTGTTCTGAAGTTCTTGCCACGTTTGCTGACTATGTGAGCCCGTTGATGCTATTGATATCGTCTAGAGAAGCAATCACATCAAGTAAGTTAGGTTCTTTTGTGGATTATGTTGTTGATTTAATTAAATATTCTCACAGATGCCGCCAAAGAATTTGAATCCATTAAAATTCATGATCAGTTCCAAGCATCATTGGTCTCAAATGGAGAATGTTTACCAAGTTTTCTAGCTTCTTATATATCTTCAGTATTGAATGCTTCATCCATCAATCTTCCAGCTTACCTCAATGGAACATCAGATGATTTGGCATATCCATTTAGTTGTGTGAGGTTGATGATTGATACGTTAAGAAATATGTCAAATCATACTTTAACTGAGTATAGAGCTGGTGTAATGGATGCATCAATTCCTGAAATTAAAGATTTATTTGGATAATTTAAATTGCAATTAAATAAATGTTTTGGATTTTCATTTTACATTTGATGTCTTTTAATGGGAATTGGTGGGAATATCCTAATTATTTTTGTAAGTTGTGCTACTCTCCAATTTAAATCCAAATGGATTAAAACTTTGCATAAATATTCTAGTGCTTAAAACAAATACAAATACAAAAAAAAACATCCTCAATGTTTTTGAACAAAGAACCAAGAAGGAAATACATTTTCAATTTTGAACTAGGGGCGACCCTAGTCAAAATCAATTTTCTCACTTTTTTCTTTGAGGGTTTATCCAAATGAATTGATACTTTGCATAAATATTCTAGTGCTTTAAACAAATACAAATAAAACATCCTAAAATATTTTTGAGCAAAGAACCAAGTAGGAAATACATTTTCAATTTTGGACTAGGGGCGACCCTAGTTAAAATCAATTTTCTCACTTTTTTCTTTGAGGGTTTATCCAAATGAATTGATACTTTGCATAAATATTCTAGTGCTTTAAACAAATACAAATAAAACATCCTAAAATATTTTTGAGCAAAGAACCAAGTAGGAAATACATTTTCAATTTTGGACTAGGGGCGACCCTAGTTAAAATCAATTTTCTCACTTTTTTCTTTGAGGGTTTATCCAAATGAATTGATACTTTGCATAAATATTCTAGTGCTTTAAACAAATACAAATAAAACATCCTAAAATATTTTTGAGCAAAGAACCAAGTAGGAAATACATTTTTAATTTTGGACCAGGGGCGACCCTAGTCAAAATCAATTTTGTCACTTTTTTCTTCGAGGGTTTATCCAAATGGATTGAAACTTTGCATAAACATTTCAATGCTTAAAACAAATACAAATAAAACATCTTAAAATTTTTTGAGCAAAGAACCAAGTAGGAAATACATTTTTAATTTTGGACTAGGGGCGACCCTAGTCAAAATCAATTTTGTCACTTTTTTCTTTGAGGGTTTATCCAAATGGATTGAAACTTTGCATAAATATTTCAATGCTTAAAACAAATACAAATAGAACATCCTAAATTTTTTTGAGCAAAGAACCAAGTAGGAAATACATTTTTAATTTTGGACTAGGGGCGACCCTAGTCAAAATCAATTTTGTCACTTTTTTCTTCGAGGGTTTATCCAAATGAATTGAAATTTTGCATTAATATTTCAATGTTTAAAACAAATACAAATAAAACATCCTAAATTTTTTTGAGCAAAGAACCAAGTAGGAAATACATTTTTAATTTTGGACTAGGCGCGACCCTAGTCAAAATCAATTTTCTCACTTTTTTCTTTGAGGGTTTATCCAAATGGATTGAAACTTTGCATAAATATTTCAATGCTTAAAACAAATACAAATAAAACATCTTAAAATTTTTTTAAGCAAAGAACCAAGTAGGAAATACATTTTCAATTTTGGACTAGGGGCGACCCTAGTTAAAATCAATTTTGTCACTTTTTTCTTCGAGGGTTTATCCAAATGAATTGAAATTTTGCATTAATATTTCAATGTTTAAAACAAATACAAATAAAACATCCTAAATTTTTTTGAGCAAAGAACCAAGTAGGAAATACATTTTTAATTTTGGACTAGGGGCGACCCTAGTCAAAATCGATTTTGTCACTTTTTTCTTCGAGGGTTTATCCAAATGAATTGAAACTTTGCATTAATATTTCAATGTTTAAAACAAATACAAATAAAACATCCTAAATTTTTTTGAACAAAAAACCAAGTAGGAAATACATTTTCAAATATGAACTTGGGACAGGTCTAGTCAAAATCTAGTTTCTTACTTGGTTCTTTGCTCAAAAAATTTTTTGGATGTTTTATTTGTATTTGTTTTAAGCATTAAAATATTTATGCAAAGTTTCAATCCATTTTAATAAACCCTCAAATAAAAAAGTGACAAAATTGATTTTGACTAGGGTCGCCCCTAGTCCAAAATTGAAAATGTATTTCCTACTTGGTTCTTTGCTCAAAAAAATTTTAAGATGTTTTATTTGTATTTGTTTAAGCATTGGAATATTTATGCAAAGTTTCAATCTATTTGAATAAACCCTCAAAGAAAAAAGTGACAAAATTGATTTTGACTAGGGTCGCCCCTGGTCCAAAATTGAAAATTGATTTTCTATGGTGTACTTTGGTCAAAAATTTTTTTTGATGTTTTATTTGAAATGACATAATTCCGACATAAATCACATACCAATATTACTTTTTGTAATGCATAGCTTAAAAAAATCGAATTTATGACATAAATTAGGTATAACTTTTGAACTGTGTCGAATGGGTTTGAACTGTGCCGTACTTCACGCCCACATGATTTTATTCAAGTTTTTCTATGACAAATAAAATTATTCACTGTAATTTAACCTCTATAAACTGGAATATTTGGTACTGCCAAGTCAACTGGTGAAGCAGTAATGAAGTCAACAATTGCTTGATTCATCAAACTACTCAAGATTGTAATGATAATCTTAACACAACTAAATGGATATGGAAGTGCCAAAGTATCGCCCCTCAAGTACGAGATAAGAGGATTGCTGTTGCTGTGTAAGGCAGATCCGACATATGTTCCCAAAATATCCGGCAAACATTCGAGAATTGAAGCGAAAGATTCCAAGAAAAGATCTCCCAAGTTGATGGAAATAAAAGCTTCCGATGCACCTTTAAACAAATTAAATGGTAAAAATGTTGATCATTAATTAAATGAAGAAACTCGACTTACTCATAACCAGGACTCCTTTACGATTTGCTAATGTAACCAGAGTCGTAGCATAGCTCGTGAGCGACGTGTACGTATTATTGCATGTAGAAGTATCACCTAGGGATATAAATATGATTTAAATGTCTTAATTTTAATTTTAAATAAAACTTACTAGTTGAGACTTGAGTAAAGTCACTCAATCCTGGAATAACATCATTGGACATTAACAGAATATGATTTCTCATGTTGATCAAATCAGTTGCAATACAGTCAAGTGGTTCAACAAATGGTAGTGGCACTGTTCCATTAATGATCTCGTAAATGACTTCAGAATCGATTCCAGATAAAACACTTGTAGCATTAGCTGCGAGAATTACTAAAGTATGTAATTCGCAGACGAAATCAATGATGAAGACTGGTGTCAAAACTGGAAATGCGATCGAGTTGTCTGTAAAGAATATTAATTAAATCGCTGATGTAAGTTTACATAAAGGAGGTATTACTAGTAACAAAGGCTTGAAGACTATTGATGTAATTATACCAAATATTTGAGAATGTTTTAAATTTAGTATAAAATGGTTCACAATTAGGCGGTGGAGGTGACGCTACAACAGTTGCATTAAACTGATTATTTGACGTGTTGATCAAATTCGAAATTGATGTTACAGATCCTTTAACACAGCTCAATGGCGGTGGAACAGGCGTTGATGAATTTGCCAAGTATTCATTGACGATTGTTACATCCATGTTTAATAATTCAGCGATACCATTCGAGAAAGCAATAGCTCCACATGCAGAAATATTAACATGATGTTCTAGATAGAGATTTAGTCTTCCAATGCTTTTAAATCCAGCAGCATCTTCGAGTGAAATGTTCACAATTTTATTAGCAATTCCTTGACCTGCTAAAAAGTATGTCTGGAAAAATGTTTGAACCTCTGAGCATGGTGTATTCTCATTTACTGTAAACAAACAGAATTTTGAAGATATTAACAGATTGAAGGTTTGTTAAAATATACTTACTTGTAGAATCTGTCACTAGTGAGCTTAAATTCGAGAAAATGGGATTTAAGTTCATAATGAATTGCTTGAAATCTAATAATTCTGATTGGATACAATCAAGTGGAGCCGTAAATGGAGGCTCAATTTCATTGGTGAAAATTCCATAGATGTAATCGTAATCAGTTCCTGACATTTGACTAGTTCCATCAATCAGAGTATAAATTAACTCATTTAAATGACAATTTAAGTATTCAATGTAAGTTGAGCCCGTTTGTGGATAACTTAAGATAATTCCTAGAATCAAAAGATGTTGGTGATTTGCTTCTGTAATTTCTCATAAGTGATCTAACCTGATATGTAGTTAACAATCACATTCATTGATGTTTCAACGACTTGAACTAGTGCCATAAAATTTTCATGAATTGATTGACAAGTCGAATCTCCTCCACCCAAAGCACTTCCAGCTAAACTTAGTAGAACTATGATATTTAAGCACTTCATGCCTGAGAACTTTTTCTACTTTGGGACGACCAAAGATTAATATATTTTTTGAATTTAGGTATATTTATATGAATAATCACCAAAATATGTAGAGTTCTAGTTTTGAGAAGAAAATAATTAAAGCCAGGCGCGTAGCCAAGAGGGTCTTGTCCCCCCGCCCCCTTAAACATTTGGAACCACAGTGAGAGCAAGGCCTAAAACGCTCAAGAGGGGGACAAGACCCTCCTGGCTACTCGCCTGATTAAAGCTAATGTTTCGTGACAAGGGATGCACACGAAAAATCTTAAAATTGTTTTTTTCGTGATAAGTGCGACTTGTCCTTTTTAAATTTTTGAGATGTATAAGGATGCACAAGGATGTATTAAGGTAAGGATTAACCTTACGAAAATTACTGGTTTCTCATATTGAGGATAGTATAATAATTCAGGTAGGGGTGATTAATGATATATTCTCTGTCTCAACCAATTATACAGAGTTTGGAAACAAGTTACTTCAACCAAAATATTCTTACTACGCTACTGACAGCTTTCATGAAACACGTTATGAAAGTTCACTAAAATTGTACGAAATTTTGTCTCAAAAAACACAATAAAAAAGCAATAAATTTTTTTATTATCCTGCTTAATAAGCTGTTTAAATATTTTGTAATATTCTCAAATGCTCATGCAGGTGTTTCCTTTAAAAAAATTTCCCCAGTATATAAACAGAGCAATCCGTTCAAGTCTCTCAGATAGCTTCACTTCTATCAAGTCAATAGTTCACTTCTAAAAGTCATGAAGTTAATTACGTTTTTCATCATTCTTGGAGTAGCAGGACATGCTCTGGCTGGAGGGCTTTCACAATGTGGTCCACTTCTTCAAACATTCACGCCATTGATGCAAGCTATTGAATATATTGTGGACTTTGTTTTGGACAAAACTGAAAGTAAGGAAAAGTTTAATCGACTCGAGCTGATTTCCAGTTTTGGGGAAATAGAATCCAAAATTGAACAAATTTAAATTCTTTTCAGCAACTGTCCAGGAACATCCATTTGTTGGAAACAGTTACATTGCAGGATTCAATGCGTTCCTTTCTATAGCAAATCTGACATTCGCGACTGGAATTAGTCAGTTGTCAGGAGTGAATGTTGATTACATCATGGGAATCTTTAATGGAACTGTTTCATCGCCATTTATATCTCCATTGGATTGCATTGAAACTGAACTTTTATCTTACATTACTTATGCTCAAAATATTGTACAGAATAATGTAAATCCACTGGTTTCACAGGTTCAGCAATCTTCAGGTAAGATTTTATGCTCATTAATTTTAATTAATTCAAAACAATTTAATATTTTCAGTTGATGAAAACACGCCGTGTGCAATTGTCATGCAAAATTACAGTACATACTACCAATTAGCAAGCACAAGAACTAACGATTTTGTAAGTGTTGGAACGAGTAGCTCAGGTGTCTTCGCTAGCATTGGATTGTCAAATGTTTATGCAATGTATACTGAATTATTAAGCAATATTTTCTTGAACATGCAAAGTGTTAGCATAGCTGAATTCCTCAATATGGATCCTGTCCTCATCGCAAACTATATTGCTAATCAATCAATTTCAGTTCCACCTCCGTTATCTTGTATTCAAGGATTAATTGATTCACAAATAAATACTGTCAATTCAGCTGCTAATAATGTCCAAAATAACATCATATCTTCAAGCATCCCACCCAATTGTAATCCTCTTTATGGACAATTCCAAGCATTTGAAGGTGTTTGGTATCATTATCTAAATCAACTTCGTGACTATGCAATTAGTAAGTTGTAAACCTCATTAAATACAAAAAACATTAATTAATTCCTTTCTTTCTCCCACATAGACAACTCAATTGCACATCCAATTTTGACGCCATTCTTCATCGCTGATCTCATTTGTGAGGTAGATGTCATGTTGATATTCGCAGCAAATGCAACAAGCATATTGACTGAAGTTGACTCCGATATAATTTACAATATACTAACAGGAGTGACTGTGGCACCATTTGCTTATCCTCTTAGCTGTATTGAGACTGACTTGGTCTATTTGGCTGGTCAGATTTCTATTTTGGTGAACAATATTATTCCTGGATTGCAGAACTTTGCTATTACTTCTACAAGTAAGTGATAAAAGCTTAAATAATTGATTGTTCATAATACATTAAAATTATTTTTACAGGTGACATATCAACATGCAATAAGACTCATCAGTCTCTATCACCATACGTTGGTACAATGGTTACTTTGCTAAATCATAAAGCCACATTAGTAGCTAGTAAGTTTCTCTAATTTCTTTTTTGACTTCTTAGTTAAAACTCATTTTTCAACAGATGGAACTATTTACTTCATGGCTACAAACTTTGGAGATCTTTTCCTTGAATCTTTTGCATCGGTTCTTTCATGTCTACCAAACTTAGTTGGCAAATATGTTGGTGCTGCACTAAATAGTAATGGCGCTCCAATTAGTGCTTTCATTAGTGGAATTCGTATGACAATGCCAAATCCATTCAATTGTGTCAACATTCTCATCAACATCATAAATAGTTTGATGAATCAAGCTGTCGTTAACTTTATCACTGGAACTAATGTTGACTTGGCTACACCAAACATTCCAAGATTTACAGGATAAACGTTTGGTATTAATGTGTAAACCTTTGGGAAAGTCGTCATTTATGAACAGCCCCATATTATGCAAATTCCCTTAAATATTTCAAACTTATAGTTATTTAAATAAAAGGTCATCATAGAATATAAAAAGATTTACTATAGATTTTTCAATACTTCCCACAAGTAATCATTGATCATGTCGATCATCAGTACGAAAAGCATTTTTTCTCCATGGAATATTCTTCAACTTTATAGCCACGACTGGACATTGTTGACACTTTTTTACAGCACTTAAGAATTCTTTTCAAATCTCAGAACGTGTCGTTTGTTTCTGAATATCCGAAAAGGGGTCGTTCACTTATGACGTCCGAATTTAACGGTCATTTTTCATAAGGGGCTGTTCACTTATTACGTAACGCGAAAAAATGACTTCTTAGACCCCCCCCCCCCTCGTAACAAAATTAATATGAAATATATTCACAAAAATTGAAAATTTGTGTGAATATGAAAAAAATTTCCTTGTTTGAACCGTAACAAAATCTTAGACCCCCCTCCCCCTAAAAGCGTTACGTAATAAGTGAATGGCCCCTAAAAGAACAATGGATTTCCAGGAATTTCTATTGTTCTTTTCTTGCTGACCCCCCCCCCCCCCAAATTTTTTTTAAAATTTTAATTTTGTTAGGAACAGTCGGTAATGTTATTTGTGTGGTGGACTAAAAGATGATCTTGTTGTCTTACTGCAAGCATTTGAATCTTTAATTAATGGTGTCGTCAATTTGGTTAACAGTAAAATTTGGGTTTTCTTGAATTTTGTGCAAACCATTTTTTAAAGTTTTTTGATCAGATTCTTTGATTCATAGATTCTAGGAAATACGTCGAATGTCTGGAATGAATATTGATTATATTCTTGGAGCTTTAGAAGGAACCACTCAACCTCCGTTTTTGGAACCACTTGACTGTATAGACATTGAGCTTACTTCATATTATTTATTGACACAAAATATTGATACAAATCGTTGAGGCAATCGTTCAAAATTCACCTAGTAAGGAGTTAACTTTCTCCAGCAAGAATGTCTCACTATTTAAATGGTATTTTAATTTTATAGTCAACAAAAGCACGTTTTTAGAAGTGTTGTTCACTGCATCAAAGTTTGAGGTCAATATTGAATTTTTTTTACAACAACTTTTAACTGATTCTAATTATATGATCAGCAAATAGACAGAACTATTCCATTAAATATCAATTATTATGATTAATTTTATTGTTTTTTGCATTCTTTGTTATTCTCATAAATTTTACAATATTTAAAAAAAATCTAATTGAATTCAGGAACTGGTGGAATATTCAAATTTAATGGTGTACCAGCATTGAAGCTAGTCAATGCTTGATTAAAGATATTCTGTCCATAGTCAATAATAGATTGAATACAGCTATATGGATGTTCAAGTGTTGTCGAAAGTCCATTGTAGTAGGTAATAATACCATCTGGATCTGAATTTAAGATTGTTGCAATACCAAGTCCCAATACATCAAAAACGCATTCGTTAGCTTGATTCATTGCTTCCAAATAAATGTCTGCCATGTTAATGGTTCCGAACGATGCAGTTTCGGCTGAGACATGAAATATTTTTTAACTTTAAAACTTTTAAATTAAGATGTGCTTTCCAAAAATACCTGCAATTATAGTGCCAGCTTCAACAACAAAAGCAATCGTTGTACCAATATACGGAAGTAAAGACAAATAAACACTGAAGCATGTTTCTGTATTGCCTGTAAAAAAAATAAATTATAATTAAGGAAACTTCTCACCACTTTAGTTTAAGTTTTGATATTAACCTGTTGTTCCTTGAGTTATGCTCGACAAATTTGGAATAATGGATGAATCAATATTAGTCAAATTATTTTTTATGTACGACAATTCATCAGAGATACATCGAATTGATTCTAATGACGAAATGTCAATTTCTCCTGATAATGCATTTTTAATTGCACTAAAATCAGCGCCAGATAAACGATTTGAAGCATTTGCAGCAATATTTAAATACATTTCTTTAATACACCCAAGTTGTGCATTAAAAGCTGGGACTAAGACTCGATTTGCTTCAGCAGAACCTAGACAAAAATATTTTCTTAACTTTTAATTTTCCACTTTATTAAGAAGTAACTTACTTATTGCGAAATTTTCAGCATTTTCGAGAGAGCTTTCAAATATTTGAAAAAAGGCATTAAAATTGCTTACTAATGGCTCACAGGTTGAAGAACCACCAGCCATTACACTTTTAACGATAGCAAATAAAATCAAAAATTTATAGCAACTCATTTTTGAGCTTTCCTTATTGACTTATCTTGAAACTGTGTGCCTGTCTATACGAAATCAGGTTGTATTTATATGACAGATTTTGATCGCGGGTTCAGATTTTGAAATATTATGAAATATCCAAAAGGACAAGTGGGACAATATGGTATTGAATGGTATGGAATTAAAGAGAGTCACGAACACCTGATTTGGATGCATCTCAATATTTTATGAATTTTTCGATTTATTTTCACGATTTTTAATTGTCACGACTATTGGTTTTAGTTCAAACTCCCTCGCTAGCTGGTCATCATGAAAGATCCCACAAAAAAATAATTAGCATTTAAAAGGCATCCAAGTCCGTATCCAAAACCATTTCGCAGTTCCTCTGCACATATAATTATCATTTTGATAATACGAAACCCGATAATTTCACGTTCATCCTTCGCTCCAGCACATCACATAATATGTTTTCACGTGTATCTGTTGGTGATCATGTAGCCTTAAAAAAATTTAATTAAAAGGTTGCATCGACAAAATTTTGGTTTCCAATGTACAGTGGGTTGTTGGTTGTTTGATGAACACAAACTATTATTTTCAGTTCAAATGAGCGTGCATACATGATTCCACACATACCATGCGGTTTCATCGATTGTGATTTTAGAAGATGCTATGACAACAAGTTTAGGTGTGCTTATTGTTACTATTTAGGCATATTTAAGGGTGTTTGGATTTTTAACATTTGGGAGTCGAACCTAGTTACTTTGTGTTTATAAGCTTTCGGTGTAAACCAACATTTTGGGTATAATAGCCTAACTTGAATACTGACAAGTTCAACTACATTTGAGTCCTAACAATACCCTAGATTCTATTCTGATCCTACATGCTGTAAAACAGATTAGCATGCATGCAAAAAAAATTGACAATTCAAAATGTGTAAATCAAGCTAAATCAGCCTTTTTGTGGTTTTTGGTGGTCGACAGCCGTAACCATGAATGAGTGTACATAGAAAATAACGAAAATGTAGAACAATCAATGGTCTTCTCTATCTGTTTCATTTAACTCAGTATGAAAACTTTTTTTTTTGTCGATGTTTGTGGATCTTTATCATTTTTAAGCCTCAGAGTCGCTAGAACATAACCAAATATTCAATAATTTTGTTGTAACACTAAACGTAGCGTATTAACATGGAAAGTCACAACAAACTAAGTTCAAATCCTAAATAAAAAACACAACAAAATACATCAAAACTCAATCCAAACCACAACATCCATTAATAAATCCAACTCAAAAGTTCAACAAACATTTTTCAAAGCATGACTTCATAAATTAAATAAAGTCTGAAACGAAGAATTGTGGTTCACATCATCAGCATACATAAATCATATCGAGTAAATCACACATGACACAAATTAATAATAAAATTTTTTTAAATTGACCATCTCATGCCCCACAACATGCTTTTGATGTGTTCAAAACATTTTCTTTAATTGCTTTACATAAATTAAGAAGACATAAATCTAAAATTAGATGAGAAAAGAACGAGAATAGAGGAAGAATATGGATATAAAAAAATTAAGAGCAGATGTGGATGCGATTTTAAGTTGATCCACATTTTGTGAATTTAAGGCACTATTTCGTAGTAAAAGCAAAAAAGTCATAAATGATATCAATTAATGGCATCGTAAAAAATTCCAAAAGTGCATCAGCAAAGCAACTTTTTGTACATGGAACAGCACAATTTCTCTCCTCACGAACCGCACTCGTAAAGAAGCAATCCGAATGTCAAGAATGCAGCGATGAAAATGTAATAAAAAAGAACCAGAAGCGTTTATGCTGAATTAAGAAAATTTTTATAATTGATGGTTTGTTGTGGCCACAAATATTTTTACCATATAATAAATTAAGTTTTCACCATAATCTTCTCTTTAGTGGATGTGAAGTGAATTGTTGCTGCACTCATTTCCTCTTGAGACACTCGGTCGCATACATCGACATAGAATTGAGTAAATAAGCTAGTGAGTATGGAAGCTGAGGAGTCAAGTTGAGAGTGTTGAAAGCGCTTTTTGTAAGGTTCTGTATAGAAGCAGAAAGGATATTAGCAGTGGCGAAATCAAAAGTTTGTGTTAAATGTGCCAGCACACCTGAAGTTGGAACTCTCGCTCATAGATGACACTTTAGTTTAAATTTCCTAGAATCTTAACCTGTATGATACTGGAGCACCTGAAAGTCTCTTTAAACTAGTGGACACAAGGTTCCGAATACCAAAAGCACAGTCATATGCTTAATGCCTCAGTCATCCCCAGTCCAACAGACAAACAACCTCCAAAAAGTCACATTCCAACCATAAAACAATGCATCCATAAACATGCATAAAAAAGCAAACATTTCACTTCCATAGTCTACACTTGTTGCCAAACGATATTCGTTTTATGTGTGGCAACACAAACAGAAACCGCCATAAAAATTGAGAGACGAAAAAGAGAAATACGTTGGCCTTAGTCACTATCTTAATGGATTCGTTCTATTACGAATATAAAAAAGTGCAACAATTGTGTGCACTCTTGGAACTAATGTTGTTTTTACTTCTTTTAAGTTTCTTTTTATTTTTTATTTGAAAACTTATTTTAGTTCTTTTTTTTTCGTGTATTTTGTTGTTGCTCGTCAGAACGTGAAAATGAAAAACAACTTTAGATGATTTTAAGAATGCAGTTTTTTGTGGTTTTTGAATGGATATGCTGCTTGTTGGCTTTAGTCTTGAATGTATAGATTTGGAGTTTTAAATGTGTATCCTTAAAGCTAGCTATTGGTCAGACAATGTCGAAAAAATAGCTAATCATGAGACTTAAAATCTTTTGATCAACCAGAATCAGGAAAATTCGTATTTCCCCTTCTTGTTGGTTCCCCAGATATTTTAAGATCGGACATTATTGACATTATTCTTCTTCCTTCAAAAATTATGGAGACTTTCCAATTTTTTATTAATAATTCATCAATGTTTTCATTCCTTAGTTTGAGACAATAAACATGCCTGCATTTATTGCTGAAATTCTTGGCTCATCCATAATTTATTGCTCGATAAAAAATTTAACATGACAATTTCTCTTGCACAAATGCTCTTAGGGAATATAATAGAAGGTAAACAGTTCAATGACATTGGAGCTAAGGAATCTACTGCCAATTGTGACTGTCAAAAAGATGAATATCAGCTTCTTATTAATTTGTCAGTTACCGTTTCCTCTGTTGAAAAATTAGACATCATTTGTGAACGACCCCATAATTGTTTAAACTAAGAAAACTATGAATATGCCGATTCCCTGAGTTTCCCCTATCTTTACTCGATTTTAAAGTTGCAAAATGCCTCCACATGTATGCTGTGACCACAGATGCTGCTTAAACATATCCATCATCAATTTACAAACTCCACAAATTTTTAATTCATCCAAAAATTAATTTTCATTGAAATTTTATTGCGTTTTTGTAGCTCTAAAGCAGTGATGGCTAACCCGTGTGCCACGGCACACTAGTATGCATTAGTATTGCGCACTTATGTGTGGGATTGGTTCTTAGCTTACCATCAAGGTGTGCCGTGGTTCAAAAAAGGTTGTTCACCACTGCTCTAAAGGTTTCCATTCCCATTTACTATTCTCTAATAAATTAATTTAAGTCCGCATGAAGAATTCTTAAAGACTCTTCTTTGTTCTTATTTTTTTCCGGAACACATAAAAATGTGTTTTGAATGGAAAACATGAAAGAAAATTGGAAGCACATGTGCTTGATGGAAAAGAAATAGTTTTTCATTTATCCAGCATAAAACCAACAAAAAAAGAAATTTCATTTTACAAAATAATTTAGAATCTAACACTAAAATTGGGTTAACCACAGACAATTTGGCACATGGAGATGCAATTCGGATGGAAATAATTCAATGCTCTGCTCTTATGTGTGTTTTAAATGAAGAGAAATTTTTCAAGGCTCGAGCATCAATTGGGAACTGAATAGTAATTAATTAAGTAAGATTGAATAGCAATTTTAATTTTACTAGGAATTTTTCAGATGTGATGCAACCTTTTTCAAGATTAATCAATGATAATTCTTAAGATACTGTTCAGATCAGATTCTTAGTTCATGTTGACATTCTGCAAAGATTCTTGTCAACCTAAAAGAGCTCAATGGTAAGAGTAACCAAGAAGTATCAAAGAGTGAGTTCGAATGTCATTACTGTCAATTTGTTGGGAAGTTAAGTTTTGTATTCTGAATATCAATACGAAAGTTCTATAAGTGATAGTCTATTCCAGTGGTATCCAACCTTTTTGAAGCACGGCACATTTTAGTGGTAAGCCATGACCAAAACTGCACACGGCTATGTTTCATGTAATTTTTTGAATTTTTCGTGACAAATAAGTTTAACGTTGCACAAAGGTTGGACATAACTGGTCTACTCGAACACAATTTTCATATTCAATCAAAATCTCAATGTTTGGCACAATTAACAGAGTAAAATTCAAGGCAAATTAAAATCCCATTTTGAGTGGAATTTTAAACTTTGCCTAGAGACTTAATCTTCATCCCGAAAATAAACAAACAAACAGAAACAGCAAATAATGATGAAGAATGCGAGAAAAATTACAGATGAATCTACTTTTAAATATCCCCTCGCATTTTTGACGCATTAATGACCTAAATGCTTAATTTCATCATCATTAATCAGAATAAACAGAAACACTTTTCATCAAATCTCTTAAAACCGTCCATAAAAGAAGAGAAATGAAGAAAAAATGAAATAAATATTTTTAGATATAAAATATTGCTTTTAATATGCATAATTGAGATGTCTTTTTTTTCGTCGTTGCTACTTCTTCGTGTCGTTGGAAGTTAATCCCCTTTGGCTGTTGAGTAGTAATGCCTACTTAACCTACAGGAATTATACTTATAGGAAAGCAATTTGATTTTTTTTTTAACATTTGTGCATAAGATTGCACAACACAGTGGCGGTGGGGGGAGGGGGGGGGGGGTGCACATATATCTGACAAGAAGTAATTTAAAAATTAAAATATC